CCGGCGGCGGCCCGCCGTGTCTGCGCTGCCGTTTGCCGTCACCCGGAGCCCTCGGGAGGTGAATGTGCGAGTCTCGGCTTCCTCTCCAGAAAACGATGTTTTCCCCCTCACCGTGGTGGCCGAGGTGACTGAAAGTCACAGAGCTAATGTATCGCGGTGGCGTGTAAAGCAGGATGGAAGTGAGAGGGCCCGTAATTGCTTCAGTGATTTAAAAAAAAAAATAATCCCATGGGGTTTTTAAGAGTCAAGTTTATGGGATTTGAATTTTTGGAGCCGGGAGTACAGGGTTATGACAGAGCACTGCGACAGTTCAGCCTTTCCCTCTGCACCTGGAATGGTCTAAGATCTCATCTCTCAACAGCACTTTCTATTTCATACCTGAGCAGAGGTTACTTATGTAGAAGGAAAGATAAACTCTAATCCTACTAATACCATCTCCATAAAATTTGGACCGTCCAAACAAATGCCTGTATGTGAATTACTTCTTTTATCTTTGCTCAGTGCACTAGAGATAGTGAAAATGGATGTTTATCTCCTCTGCTTTCCAAAGACTTGCAGCCTCAGTTTTTACAGTCTAGAACTAGCCTGAGAGTGTAGCCTGGGGAATACTTATGCTCTGCTTTGCAGAGGCCACAGCTGCTTCCTTTCCTTCTGTTTCCCTCCTCTTCCCTCCAAGATCTCAGGGGGAGGAAAAAAAAAAAAAAAAAGTAAAGAAGAAGAGTAAGAGCTCTGCACCCTCTCCCCCCAGTTGCCTGCTTGGAGAAAAGCAGATTTGAGGAAAAGCATCGTGTATATACATCCTCTCCTTTTTCTATATCCGCAGCATATCATATGACTTCCCCACAACCACCCTTGGCTTTGTGGGAAAAAGGGTTTTAATCCTCTTGGTATACTGTGTTATGAAAAGCCAAAGTGTACCCCAATGTATTTCTGTGGACTACTGAGACTCCTCATTTAAAAGCAGCAATGTGAATATGAATGAGTTATCAACGAATCATTTATTCCAGTTGATTTGACTTGCACCAACAGAAGGAAGGTCTATGGAAATCAGTTAAAAAAAAATCTGTGAGATTCCACATAACCTGTATGGCCAGGCTCAGTCACTAATATTACAGCAACAGGTTTACCTAAAAATGTAGCCATATTCTCCTTCACTGAGTTAAAATTCATCATTTTTTTTCTTAACTCTACATATGGAGAAAAAAAAAAAAAATCTGTCTGTACTGGAAAGCATTGTTCTTTAGTTTTCTTCCTGCAGTAAACAAGTTCAGCCTTTTCTCACAGGCTGTGCATTTTAAATCTTTTAACCTTTTGCGTATTCCATTTTTGTTTACAGCGTTCTCAAGGCAGAGCCCCAACAAGGGTTATCATGTCTCAGTCAAAGCTTTAGCAGAGTGCAGTACCCTTCTCTAATTCTGAGAGTATCACCACACTTTGTTTTCGAAGTAGTTAATGGAAAAATCATTAACTAGTAATGTGCCCAGAAGAAACTAGTCCTACATGACAGGCTTTACCAGTTACACAAAAGCAGCTAGCAAGGATTTGAAGCCTGCTTTTGTGGCAGTTCTGTATGTATTTATAATAGTTTTATTTGCATACTGTTTTTTAGGTTTCTTACAAGGATATCAAAAGCCATACAAAAGACCCACTTAACTTATCACATTCACAGCTTCCCTTTTACCCCCTTAGCCTGTTCAACAGAGAAATTAGATTGGATTTGACAAGAGTTGCTTTTAAGCATTTTAAGGTGTACTTTTAAGCATGTTCCCTGAGTGAACATTAACTGGTAGTTTAATAAATTATTCTAGCATTTTTTTGGATATCAGAATTAGGCCATTTGGCTTATGGCTAAGTTGTTGTTAACCCCTTCTCTTCAGACGTGCTCTTCTCCAGTGCTGGACTGCTCTGGCCTCTCCATGAGCTGGAAGATAATCACTGATGATCTCAAAGTGCTTCTGCTGGGGTCTGGTGTTCTGCAGAGCAAGTTTTGTTAGGTTCCGCTACACATTTTTTCTAAAATATACTTCACCTATTCTTTTCCTGATCTGAACGATTCTTCCATCTATTTTTCACCCTGAATTCAGACATATTTTGAATTATTATTATTATTACCATACTTCTGTTTTTACCTCTTATGGGCTCTTTCTGCATTATTTAATGACTGCAATTTCCTTTGTCTTGTTCTAATGCCTTCATCAAACTTCTTTAGGTGTGTTATGTCCCATGATAGTTGAGACTGATTAATGCCTTAACCTGATTCTGTTATCTGCAGGCTGACACTGTTTATTTTTATCTAATTCATGTCCTTTTGTCTATTTACTGTATGTTCTCTTTTGATTTTTAGGTCATTAGGTGCTTG